TGTATGTATTCCAAATAAAATATGGCTTCCAATTAATACAATTACAATCTTATAAGGAGTTATTAACAAAAATATATATCATCAACTGGTAGCTGTATAGCTACAAGAAACTTAAGTAACTTATCCCCTTTCCAGAAGCCTGATAAAATCATAATACTCTTGCTTATGGCTTATGAGCCAAACATTTATAACTTTAAGCTTCAGCTAGCGCACCAATTAGCATACTATATACATTTAAAAATAAAAACAAATCTTGGTACCGCCGCACACAATTTCTCTTTCATTTGGCGAAAAAAAAAATAAAAAACGGTTTACTCTGCGTATCTTTCGGGCATCTTTTTTCATATCTGTAGCAGAGATTTTGCTTTTGGCCACTTACGGTATTTCTGCGCCTTGTTGTCGCTGTCGCTACCTAATTTGCATACGCATACGCACAGTTCACAGATACCCCGATGCTCGTACCACCGAAAATCGAGACACTACAACTGGGCCTCAAAACGAAAGTGAAAACACTCCAGTTGGGTGCTAAACGGAGAGTCTAACCGAAAGATACACATAATTTCCAACTGTCTACAATCAATATTGATCGTCTCGCAATCCCTGGGAATTCGAAATTGGATTTCGATCGAAGGCAAACAAAAAGCTTTACCATTTCTTTAGAAAACTATTTTTAAAAGATCTTTTCTTTTTTTGCAAGACTGAGGCTGAGTGGCTTATGCAATCGTGCGGACTTAAGACCTTTCAACGCCTTTAACTGCAACATGGACTTAAGTTGGGATTTATGCGGCGGCTGAGCCCGTGACTCTGTCTTTCGCAATTAAATGTAAATCGTCCATGGAGGAGGCTGATCGGCTTGTAATGCCGCATGTTTCTGTTTTGTTATTGTATATATGGCATAGTTGTTCCTTGGTCCCAGACACGCCTTTGGCTGTCTGCGTCTGGCTTTTCGTTGCCCGATTGAGATTTCTGCCGTTTTGCTATGCCATTTTTTGTCTCTTCCATTTTTTTTTTGGCGAGTGAAAGTGATATATGGCGCATGACTCAGGCTCCGTCCATGCTCGACTCGACATCGACTCCGAGTCCCACTCAACGCTACTCCCAGCCGACCCCATCCCGGATTGGGAAGTCATATGCATAAAATATTAATTAAGAGCCATTTATGCAGCCCAAGACGAAGAAGTGGGAAAAAAGGGCGCAGCAGCCACCATGCGTGGTCCGAATCCGAAGGCAAATCAATTGACATGTTTCGAAGACACTGAGAGAAATTTATCATCCTGTTTCTGAGGAATCGAGGGAATGTTTTTTTACATTTTTAGTTTTCGCAACAATTTTACTACCTAGTTTGAGATAGTTTAGATAGTTTTCTAACTTTTGAAACTCATTTCTTAGTAGTCTTTTTGTTGTAACTTGGTCGTACAGCCATAACAGTGACTGTTTTGGAAAAACACAATTTTTACCAACTGAGAATTTTTAAAAAGAGTTTAAAAATACGATTTCAGAAAAGGGTTTTTGGGTATTTGAAGATTTGTCCCAAAAAAAAAGAACACATTTCATAAACATATTTGGTTGTAGTTTGGCCAAAATAAGAAAAAAATGATCTATCTTTTATACAAATAAGTTTTGGCTTGGCAATAAAAAAACCTAAATAAAATAATTAATTGAACAAAATTCTTAAGCAGAAGAAAAAATGACTTCTCCACCTTCGTCAGCAAGAGAAGAGTGGTATAATGGTTGTGAATTAAATAATTTTGCACTAGTTAGGGCAAGTCGTGGCCCTCACCTCTAACCGATCTACACCTGTGTGCTGCTCTAACCTCTTTGAGCCCAAGGCGGGCATCTAACCATCTAAGAGCCAGGTTCATTGTCTTTATAAATGTGATTTAGGGCTGGCGACAGCCCAACGGAAAAGCCGCCAGCAACTGAGTGAACAATAACAAAAACGGCCAACAAATTGTAGCCCAGCGACTGACAAAAGAAATGGAAAGTAAAAAGCGAGGCGATTCCATTGAGCTCGATGACCGGGCACCGGGGTTGCAGCTCCGTTCAGAGTGCGCCTTGCATAACATAATGATTGACATTGTTTGGGCCAGGCCATGGTCCACAATAATTTGTTTATAAACAATAAGCGCCCGGATTGTGCACCGTTATAACTGCACTGCCAAAGCGGCTTGGAAAAAGAAAGAGTTGTGCAAAACTCAGCCAGCAACTGGTTTTTATCTGCTCACAAATGAAACAAAAATAACTGAATGAACACGGGATTATTTTGTTATAGCTTCATAAGGTGAAAGAGGTAAGGGGTAACAGTAGGTGCATTCAAAAAAATTTAAATAGACAGGTAGCAAACGGTTATATCGTTTGATAAACATTTAGTTATTATTTTTGTTTATTTATTTTATTTTTCTATGCGTAGTGGGGTGGGATAGGTTAAAAATTGCGAACGAGTAGATTACATATTAATAATTTCTTTTTAATTAATTTGGCTTAGTTGTACATAACCGATTTTGTTAACCAGGCTCTCGTATTTTAAACCTTATTAATAAAACCCATTTAAAAATTAATTAAATTATGAAATTAATGTAAATCATCTAGAAATTTTTTTGGCTGTGCCATTAGGCTTAGTTATAGATCCTGGAACCTATCAATTAAATTTTTAAAGCTTTCCTTTTTAAAACCCTTTGAAATAAAACTATTTATATATATTAAATTTTATTAAAACATGTATGTAAATATATTTAAGGCATATGATCAGTTTATACATCTCTGAACTAATCAATTTAATTTTTAAGTCTCTCCTATTTCAAGTTTTTTTTTAATAAGACCAATTTTAGATTTAATTAAATTATTAAATTTATGTAAATAGTAATTTTAATTTATTTCCTAATGATCTTAAAAGGATCTCAATTTTGGATTTCATTTAATTATGAAATTTATGCAAATCTAACAAAAATGTATCATACTTTATAAACGGTTGCCTCACTTTCTCCAGAAATGTTACATCACAGTCGCGTTCTTCAGTCGAAAACCATTGCCTTTCCCAACCTGACTCTACCTGTGCCTCAAATGCGGGCCCAGAAGTTGCTCAATTTTCTAGAAACAAAAGGCAAAGCAAAAAGAAGCCACTGGATGAGGGTCTGCCTACGAGTACGAGTGCGTCAGCCGAGACGGATCACGGCTCAATTAGCATGCCAGGCACGTCCCTGACCCAATTCCATTTTGAGCAGTGTATGGTAACTCGGTGATAATGCTACTCGAGGATCTACGTCATTGAGCTGCGTGTGATTCACGGCGGTTGTACACAAATCCGGGGCGTTGTCGTGCCCTGACCGAGATCCACTCTTCATGAAATCGAAACCCCTGTGGCAAAAGGCGGAACTTTCGATTTCTTTCGATGTCATCGCTTGGGCAGCCACGGTGCGTACCAAATCATATATTCAAATGAAAGTTAGCCGATTACTTTCTTGGCGCTGCTGGGCTCGGCCAATTGTCGGCGGTGATCCATGCTGTATCTCTCGGATTTGGGCATTTCTACTTAATCATTTTTCGGCTTGTGCCCGCGCTCGATGCTCGTTTCACTTGCCTTTTGCTTTGATTGGCAATTTGGTTAGACATTTTTGTGCCATTTCATCATCGGAAATTGGCCGACTGGCCACCAAGACACATCTCTTTTTTGTACAATTTCGAGAGTGGCGAACGACAAATTTACTTTTGGGCTTTGCACTTTGGCAAATTGATCAAATTTGTTGCCAGGAAATTGGCACAAAGTGGTTTGCTTTTCTTTATTTGTTTGCGTTGTGCAATGTGCAGATGGAATTACTGGCCCCAAGGCATTTGAAAATTGGGCTGAAATCATTTGGTTAAACAATCTTTAATAACAAATAATGGTGACATTTTCTTGAGACTTGCTTTAATTTGTTCAAATTAAGTTTTAAAAGGAATTGGGAAAAATATTTGGGAAGCATTTAAAAATTAGCATGTCAAATGGCTTTGAAATCATAGTAGTTTAGTAATAAATATTTATAACAGACAAATAGACCTAACTTTCCTATAATAAAAATTCATTGCAAAACAATGCCTGAATTCCGCACATACATTTAATTGAATCTTTGCAAATTCTGGAATTTGTTTAAATTAACACTAAGAAAACTTTCACAAATTATTCTTGAAGCTGTTCGGAATGTTAATTTTCCCATAACAAAGCCACAAACTGTACAATTCACACATTGTTTGTTGATTTTAAAAATTTATTAACTCGAAAAACAAAAGACTTAGGCAACGAACTTGAATAAATAAATTATTCAATTAAAATCGAATAAATGCTTTTCTACTCGCTCCAGAGAAACAAAAGTTTGACTTGGTAAACGAATTAAATTTATTTACGCTACGCCCACACAAAGGTCAACCAAATGTGTCTGTGTGCCACACCTTTTCAGGCCGCTAAGTGTGCGCATTATGTCATTAGGGATTGCATAAGCGATAAGGCTGGCGATCATAATTTAATTTTCCAATGCATTGGCCAGAATAACAAGCGCGTGGCCAAATAGCTGAGCTTTGTAGCTGAGTCACAGCCGGACGCACGAACCCTTTTCGAATAACAATCGAAATTAGGCAATCGTTGAGGTAGTTCGCTGGTATCCGCCACCGACCGATCGACGTCACCAGTTACCTTGACACCGTGCAGACGGTTGCCAAAAATACAAAAAAATAAAACCAATATATAGTTGAAAACCGTAAGAGAAAGAGAAAAAGGTGGCCGGCAGCAGAAAGCGGCCTGAAATGAAAAGTTGGGCGAAAACAAGTTTTTTGGAATACCCGAAAACGGCATATTTTGCATTCGGCATTCGATGGTGCCGAGCAAAAGAGCGACTTTTTCTCTCTGTTCCTCTTCGTGAGCGCTCTTTTAGCCGCTTTTCAGGCATCGGGCGCTCGAGCGGAGCGACAGCTCCAGTGGTAAAGGGGTCAAAACTTTCACGCGATATAAAATCTTGGTAAGCAATACGGCCGGGCCGCATTTTCATTTCAACTTTGTGTGCGACGAGTTGTGTCTCCAGTCGCGTGTCCTGTTAGCAGCCACCTCCGCGTCCGCAGCGCGTCCCTCTTCGTTCCGTTCGCCCGCAGTGTTCGCATCGAAGATCTATATAAAATTGGAATATATTTTAAGAATTTCGACTTAAAAATACAAAAAAAAAAAACAAGCTTCAAAAACAAGCGAGCAACTCGAGACTTGCTCTTGGTTCAATTTGTGCATCGAATAGATCCAAATCCTCGAATCCAGTGGAACACGAATAAAACCCCAACGTGATCCACCGCTGTGCCATTGACTCCAGCTAAAAGGGATTAACTAAGGCCCAAAGCAAAGGATTTTAACAACCTGAAGGTAAGAAAGTGTAACGACATTGAAAAATAACTGCTTGATTATTTCTCCAATCGAGTTTTAAGATCAATGAACGGATTTAAGTGGCACAGTATAATAATATTAAACAGTGGTGAAATTGGAAATTAGGATCTTAGGACTGCAAATAAAATCATTTCTAAAAGTTAATCGTTTAAAATTATCAAGTATTCCTTTAACACACATTTATTTGACTTGCAATCAGAAGACTTAGGCAACAAACTTGTCATGAAAAATTCAATTAATATCAATAAAATCTTTCAAAAACTTTTCCAACTTAGTTCATAAGTGAAACCATACTAAAGGAAAAATGTGTTTCTTTAAAATGCTTTAATAAATTTCAATTTCTTTTTAATTTTCACAACTTCAGTCAGCTTATTAAAAATAGTATGCTAACAGTTAATTCCACCAAAGAGCTCTTTTAACAAAAAAATCATTTTTCCACACTTCAGACAAACTTAATGATCAGTCTTGGCCATGGCCGCACCTAACCGTTCTTTAAATGCTGTCTATAGTCTGTCTGCCGACCATATAAACATCTTCCCCATTCACACACACAATCGTAACTGTTTGGAAACCTTCGAAACACTAAAGCCACAGTTCCATTTGCTTACAAAAGCGTTGCAATCACTTCGGCGAAAGAGAGAATACCCGTAAATCTTTGTTATATTCGTTTGGAAACGAGTGCAGAAGAAAGCCAAAAACGCATGGCAAACTTTCGTCGTCGTGCATTATGCGGAAATACAACTATTATTAATAATAGTTAAGGAGCTGCTGAGGCGTGAAGCGGATAAAACTGCTGTGGAACCCTTGGCTCATTAAGCTTCATTTGGATTTGCATACACAGAGCTTCCAGTTGGCCAAAGACAGAGCTAAGCAGCCACCACCAAGCCAACTAAGCCACCCAACCACCCACTTGAAACGAGATTCGAGTGGTTGTGCAGCAGTCGCCGGCTCTCGTTCTGTGTGTCTCATGTTGCTGATTTTGCTGCTGGTGAAATTTCATCGCGTTTCGCGCGAATGAAAGTCTGAAATTACCTTGTGCCGCTTCTCATTCGCAGATGCAGTCGCTGAGTTTTCCTTACACACATGTGCTGCAGCTTCTTCTCTTTGATTAATATTGCGAATTGCTTTGTTCAAAAACTGCTCCACTTTGGGCCAGATGAGCACATGAAAACAATTTCGCTCACTACGCCACACACTCTTCTATAAAAAACAATACACCCCGATGCTATCAGACAGATATACTTTCTGTATCTGTATCTATAATTGTACATGTATCTTCTGCATCTTCTAGCACGCGCACGCTCTCGGCCAAGTGGGTTGCATTGCTCATACGCCGTGTGGGCCACTGCCACTGCCACCACTTGTCATCGCTGCCCAAACATAGCGCCTGGCAATACTTTTAATTGATTCCACACAGACATTGGTGGACCGCAAAACACAGACATTCTCATAGTGAAAGAAGCTGCGCCACTTGCTGCAATAATTACTGGTTTCTCGCTCTCGGTTGGGGCTTCAACTCCAGCTCAATCTCAATCTGAAAACCCTGGCGCAAGACTGAAAAGCACGGCGACTGGCTCAGCGACTTGGCGACAATTTCAAATTAACGGCAATTGTCTCGCCGCCTTGTGCAATTTTCACGCAGTTTTTCATGGCAGCGTGAAAATGTCAAACAACAACGGGATTGAAAGAAAAAAGAAAAGCGACCGAACTTTCATTGGCAGCTCCAGGAGTTGTGAAAACACGGTTTTCATTAGCTGCCAAGTGAAAAGAATAGAAAAGAACTTGAAACAAAAGCTGAAGAGTAAACACTTCTATAAAAATATATATTTAAAGATTATTTGGCCTATTTTAAGCCCAAGCGAAAGATTTCTTATTTTAGTAGTTACACAGTTTTTCCAAAAAGTTACTGCAAAAACACTATTTTTTTTAACTATGAAAAATTTTAACTAATATAAAGTTTCGTATATTCTTTGAATTTTTGGACCTATAAAATAAACATAATGATTTTTTAAAGTAAGCCATATAAAACGTACTGGAAAAACATTCTTCTTTAAATTATAAAAGATTTTTATTAAAATATTATTTTCTGAAAAAAATGATCATTTCTTTTCATGAAATCTTTATAACAAAAGTAAATTGTTATAACATGAAAGTCAAACATAATAGCTTTCAAAATATAATAACTTTTTTCTATAGCTACCTTCACCTAGCTTTCAATCTGCTTTTAATGAGACCGCAAAGTGAATTTCTCATTACTGACATGTAATTCTTGAAATAATTCAATTCACTTTACTTGCATTTGTTTTGATTTCTTTCCTTTTCACTTGGTTAACTCCGTTAACCCTCTAATTCTCCGGCAGCCAACTCAGCGTTTTTCGGCTTGTTGACCACCAAAACTCATTTGGCACCATCCGCTGCACGTCACTCACCACTCAAGTCGCTCCCAAAGCTCAGCTCTTCATTAGGCTTAGGCGCAATCAAAGTTGATTCGAAATTATCATGGAAATCATGGAAAATCAGTCAAATCAATGGCCGCCCAGAGATCCATTCGTATTTCGTATTTCGTTTTTCCTTTTTTTTCTTTTGATTGAGCCGCGCGAGAGTCACTCCAAAAATCGAGCACCAAAAATGAAACATCTCGAGTAACTTGGCGGTGCAATTGTATCTGTGTCTGTATCTGCATGTGTGGCTGAGCGATGCGCTGAAAAGAAATGAAAACCACTTTCTTTGCATGCATGCCACAAAGTACGAGTACTCCAACACCACCAAGTGGAGCCCGAGAGTCGAGCAATTTGCCTGCTGCACCACTGCAAGTTGCAAGTGGTGTGTGGTGAGGATGGTGGTGGTGCCTTTAGTGGCGAGCGGTGCGGAGGCAGGCAAGCGGAACAGGCCGCTCCGTGGCGACAGCCGCCGCAGCCCGAAATTGGGTCACTAATTATTTCAGAGCAAAATGCAACCGGCTTTGGCTTTGGCTCAGTCGTTGTATCTGTTTCTGCACAGAGAAAAATATATGGCAAAAACTCGTTAACGAAAATTGTTTTGGTAAGCCATAAATTATGTACTAAAAAATCTGTACCAAATTTCTAAAAATTCCTTAATATATTAAATTGAAAGTTTTATTACCATTGATGAGGTGATTTCCTTTGGTTTATAATTTGTAATTAAATATTTATGTTACCTGTGGAATGTCCACAATATCCTATAATTCAATTAAGTTTTACCGCGTCAAATAAGTTTTTATTTATTTATTTATAAATCATAAACTTCTGCTCGTTACATTTAACAACATTTTCAAACATTTTCTCTTTTTGACAGGGAATCAAATTAAAACCACTTTTTTTTTGAATATTTAAATTTAGTCAAACCATTTTTAAATACGAATTTTATTATATCAAATTATAAAATGTAAACGTTTTTCGTAATTTCAATTTAAAATAAAGTGGTCTCACTTTAACATTTAAAAAAAAGGAACATGAAAAATGTCCATTAATTCATTATTTATTTGGCAATTTAAATTTGACATTGGTAATTTTTCTCATGGTGCACGAAACTCTGGCTTCCACAGGCAATGCGGCTTCCAGTTGGCTTCGACTAACGATGCGTTGCAAGTTGCAACTTGAGGATATGCCCCCAGCTCGGCAGTGCCCCCTTCTGCGCGCCCCTGGCCCCTTCTTTCGCCGTTGATCACCTTGTCGCTTTTTTGCTTTCTTTCACCCTCACCATCTCCATCTTCTTTCACTGCCATTCCATTCCTTCGTTCTTTCACCGATCGTCACTGAACTGGACCGGATAAACTTGGGCAGAAAGTGCAAGCCCTTGAGTTTTTACTTTCGTTGGGTTGCCAGTGGTTGGCCATAATGGTAACCGGTTCTGCCCATTCAATGGCATCCGATCCCGATCTGAAATCCCCTCGCCCCTGCCCCTTGCCTCGCCCCCTTTTTGCAATTGGAGTCGTTTTTCTTTTTTTTTTGTTAGCGGATTTCGCCTTTACCGTTAAAAGAAATGGAAAGTAAAAATGGCAACAACAAAAGGAACCAAAAATGGGGAGGAGAATATAGGGGTTTTGTGAATTATGTTAATTGTCTTGTTTCTTTTATCTGTATCTTTATATCTGATCCTGGCTAACGGCTTTCCACTAATGATCTGTAAGGGGTGACTTACTGTAACTGTTGGCCAGCTAACGGAAACGGTTAGCAGATAACGGGAATTCTTCTCCACTCGCAGTTTTTCGGCAAAAGTGTGGGGCTATGGTTGACTGAAAACCGGGTGAAATGATTAAATTGGTTTCATCACGAAATCGTACAGTTTTATTAGGGGTACTATTAACATAACTTCAGTACGATGTTTTCAAAAGGCACAATTCACAATTTGTATTAAAATTATTGTTTTATTTTTTTTTAATAAATAAATAAATTAAGCATATCCGAACGTCTATAACGTGCATACAAAAATCCATTTAATACCAAATGCAAAAATCAAAAGTAAAAGGAAAGGCAATAAAAATCAATAACTAATTTTAAAAAAAATTCAGTTTTTTTCAGCATTTTTTTTTGTTTCCTTTGCCATGATTGCAATTTCCTCAATTAACATATTTCACACCGCTTATCCCGCATCCCGCATTCCGGCTTCTCTGGCCTTCAACCCGCAGTGTGCCAGATCAGTATGCAAATTGCTCGCGAAGCCCATTTCTAATTTCACTTTCCCTATTTTGCGATAAATTGCGTTATCATTTTTGTACGCACATGCGAGGCAAGGAAATTTCGCAAGCAGCCAACAGGCCAAGTGAATGGAATGCCGTCGAAAAAAAAAAATGAGAGGCGAGAAAAGGGGAGTTGCGGTTGCCACAATTTACTTTCATTTGCCACTCAGACAGCACCTGGGGCAAGTCTGCGGGCGCCAGCGCGCCTTCGCCTTATCGCATTTGTTAATTGTCGCCTTGTCGCCAAAAGTGGAGCAAAGAAAATTAATTGTTTGCTCTA